TTGAATATTCGCCATTCAGTGGCATCGTTGTTAAACGGACATAAAAAGGGATGAAGAATTGATTAATTTCATCATTTCACCACATCATTATCACGACTGAGGGTGCAACATGAGTAAGCTGCAAGTAGTAAAAGAACTTCACCGAGATGCTAGAAAGCATTTCCGCAGACGACACTTTATTATGAGAGGTATTGCTGAAACACTGCAAGCGGATTTAATTGAAATGCCACCCGATCGCAACATGAAATATTGTTTAACAGTGATTGATGTTTTCTCAAAAATGGCATATGTTCGACCACTCAAGACAAAAACCGGTGCAGAGGTTACACAAGCGATGAAGTCTGTGCTTGATTCTATTGGGAGACCTGTGAAGAATATCTGCGTCGACTTAGGAAAGGAGTTTTACAATAGTGACATGACTAAACTATTGGAGAAATATAAGGTGAATCGCTATTCAACATTCAGCGCGATGAAGGCTAGTATTATAGAGCGCTGGAATCGTACAATAAAGCGGAAACTATATGAGCAGTTTAGTCTGCGAGGAAACTACAAATGGGTTGATATCATACAACAACTCGTCGATGAATATAACGGTAGAAGACACCGTACCATTAAAATGGCTCCAGAAGATGTTAATTCAGACAATGAACAAGAACTCTTAGACACAGTTTACAATTATAAGCATGAATATTCTTTAGCGAAAATAGACAAGTTTAAAATAGGAGATCATGTCCGCTTAAGTAAATATAAAAATGTATTTGAAAAGGGTTATCTACCGAATTGGACTACTGAAATTTTTGTCGTAAACAAGATCCAACATACGGATCCAACTACATATCTGTTAGTTGATTGGGAAGGTAATGAAATCAAGGGCGGGGTTTACGCTGAAGAGATGCAGTTAGTAAAATATCCAGATGTATACTTAGTCGAGAAAATATTGCGCAAGAAAAAGGATGAGGTTTACGTCAAGTGGTTAGGATTTGATAATCGATACAATAGTTGGATCAAAGCTAATGATGTACTGTAATTTTTAAGATTTTCTTCTTCAATAAAACTTTCCTAATTTAATGTATTAGAATAAGGAAAAAAAACTGTGTTTTATTTAACCATTATTTTTCAGTGATGATGGATGTACAACGCTTCACATATAATCGATTGAAAGTCACATTCGCACCAAATGTAAAAGTTTTTAAGATGCATGTTTGGACGTATGCGTATCACACTGCACGCGTTAGCAAATGGCGTGAAGATTACTTGGATCGAATGAGATTCCGTAAAAGGATAAAAATGACTGAAAAGATAATTTCACCCATATTGAACGCTGAACATCGATCGAAAATTAGTAATGCAATACTAGGATCAAAATAAATGGGGAAATAAAAAATAACAATTGTTTGTGTTTACAATATGACAAAGTTTTTTATTAATTCACACCTTAATTCCATAATGACCATGGGCCAATGTCTTAATGTTACCGAGTAGAATGAAACGTTTGTCATCATTTGGACTTAGAGCAACTTTTTCTTGTTCGATGGTGTAGACGGTATGCATTTTTGTTCGAAAAGTATTTTGTTTCTTAGAAATACTGTCACCGCTTTGAAGGCAAGACACATAGTCATTGAACTGTATCTCCCTCTTCAAGACACATTTTTTGACACCTTTTGCTTTCTTCATCTTAGCATTGGCTTCTGGATCATATGTTAAAACGCAATACATTTTACTTCTCAACCCTACGAATTTTATTATTATTATTGAGTTGAGTTCATCCTTGAATAGACCTGGAATCTTTTTGTTAACTCTGGGTATTTCAAATATGTTGTCGATCGGGTAATCACTTGTATCATATCGCTCCAAGTTCTCTTTCATGTCTAAGTAGAAATCTTCAGTCTTAACGTGGATTATAAAACTGTTGGTGTCCGTGTAAGCAAGTTCAATATTTGAGCCATATTTAGGCTTCAAGAAGTCGTAATAATATTCATACATACACACCTTTGAAATATCTAAAATAGCCATGCCGATAGAAATTGGTTTATTCATAACAATACTTGTTTGAGCCATTTCTATCGCAACTAAGTTCTCATCAAAAATCGTATTTCTTTTGAAATTTGGCTTAGCAATTAATTCACGAGCCCCACCACGACCATCCCATTTGCTTCTTAAGCGAATATCCACGCGAGACCTAACATTTTCCATACATTTTCCGAAAATAGCATTATTCATTAATTTGTATAGTTCTTTCTCAAAATCATTGTTTGCTTTAGCACGCATATTTGTGTTCAATTCGATATATGATTTTAACCAGGCAGTCTGCTCAAATTGTATTACTTTGTGAACTTTTTTTAAAATTAATCCATGCTTTAGAGCCAACTTTAACATTCTGTAGTGAATTAAGTAGTTTCTTTTATCGGTCAATGTTAATAATAGTTTCTTAACGTTTGTGGTATTTGGTACTAGCTTATTTTCAGCGCAGAATGGATAATCGTTGTGTAAATCATGTAGGGATTCTGGGTAATCTAGATCAACTTCGAGTATATAACCTATGTCCGAGTCGTCGGCAATATTTGAAATTTCCTCAGCTGTGAACTCTTTCTCGCACCATTGAAACCCTTTGATTGGGAGATGCTGCATCATGGAATATCCATAAAGATTGTTACAGTCAACATACATGATGTAGCTAGTCTCTTTCTCCTTATCATACGTATCCATGTATTTATTGTTTGCTTCAGCATACCGTTTGCTACATTGACTGATTCCACCACGTATTCCTATGAATGGATATGAAACATTTATAACAATGTCATATAAATCTATAAATTTGGTGTTTACCTCTTTCGACAAACAGTAGCATATCTACATCTTTCAATAGCTCTAATTCAACTTTTGTGTATCGCAGCATAGCGTCAAACGAAAGTCCTGGTGCTGTGTAATAATTGGCTGGATCTAACTTGTAAATTTCGCTACATGTCTCTCTGAAGTTCTCGAAAACAATCGCCAACAGACAAACATCAACTTTTAGGTATAGATCAGCATATTCACCAAGAGTTTTCACATCAAATTTACTCCAAACCTCTCTCGCGAAGTTGTAATCTTTATCAGAAACGTTTTCACCACTCAATTTGCTATGAAACGCTTCTATCGGTGGTAGTTCCGTCTCTTCAAGTTTCTCCCAAGAATCTACATAATCGTAACAGAAAACACCCTTTCGTTCTAACAACTCCATTTGCCCTTCATTTATATCTCTAAATTCATTTCGAAGCAGTGTTTTCTTCTCCGATGGTATTAAAGATGACAGTTTATCTAGTGATGAAGCCATAAATCTGAAGGAGTCGATAAATTTAAACTTGACCATGGATTTGAAGTCGTGCGAACTATCTGCAGCTGTTTTTATGAAAGATATGTATTTCTCCTTATTAATAGGGATAACCTTCACCTCACCAGGGAAGCCAGTTGCGAGTTTCTTTATGATGAAATGGGAATCGTAATTTGTCAAGTTGTGAAAAACAACTGGTATGGTGCGATTTTGACGATATTCCAGGTTACATGATTGATGTGCAGCTCCTCTAAATTTTCCTGTGAAATGACAATGATCCCTTACGGTCGGTTCTTTCCCGTTTGCCAAACATCCTTCACAAATATGACAAATTTCAGCCTTGTTAAAGATTTCTTCATCTTCTAATGTCATTACTAGTGGAACCGCATTATTGAAAATTGTCGCCAAACTTTTCGACATTTGATGTAGCTCTTCAACAAACCAATCAATACAATCAGGACCACGTTTTGCCTTATAAAACGATTGCGATTCATCAAATGAGCATTTAAAGTAGCATCCAATACTGTAAACTTCATGCTGTTGGTAAGCTAGGGTTTTCACAGGTTTCTTGTCGTTTTGCTTGCAGAATGGTTCAGTGGGTTTTTTTAAAAGAGCTTCAACGTCAGCGTATATAATAAATGGTGCCTTCACTTGATTCTTAATATTCGTGAATTTGACTATATCATCTCCTTTGGTCGGCATTTCAATTCCACACACGTTCTGACGATTACAATTCGCACGATGTTCCTCCAATTTATTCAGTTGATGAAAAAAATTTAAGCATCGGTCACAGAAGTAGTGTCTCCCATGATGATTCGATACTTGAGATGAAATCAGTCGACTTAAGTTTTTAATCCAACAGTAATGAGCCTTTGTCTCGTTCGCACCAGTTGTTTCAGTGAGTAAAAGAAGATGGATATGGTTTCTCTTAACTTCATTAGTTATTCGCACAGGCTGTATTTTCTTCGCTTTCTCGTCAAACATATATACGTTAATAGATATTGTCAGATTTAAATACTCAAATTTCGAAATGTCGCGGATTTTCATTGGGAGATCAATTCCTGTGAAGAGGAGTTTATTTTTATGTTTTTCATAATGATTCAAGCGATCTGTATGGATGTTGGCTGGATACAATGCTGATAATACAGCCCATTCAAAGCAATATTTATCATTATTCTTTACATTAACAATTGCCCTTTTGGATGCTAAGTATTTCGGTGTTTTTATATATGACGATCCTCTTAACGGGTCATATCTGTTGACTTGCACAAGTAGCTCATTAAGCGATGATAGCGTAAATCCTGAGCCTCGCATGATAGCGTCATCAACTTTGCTCATGATAGTTTTAATGACATATTCCTCGAAGATTTGATATAAGTCAGCTTCACGATCGATAACCACAGATTTGGTGTGTAGATAGAGTGTCTGCTTTTCCGTTTTCACCACTGGATTTTCGGGGTTATCCTCATCCACATCCATTAAGTCATCATTCACGTCCACTTCCATATTTTCAACTCCGTTTGATACATTTTTCGCGACAATTTTTTCGAATGTTGCACTGAAACACGTATTCACCTTAACCGTTGGATGAGTATCCAAAATTTGCGTGAGTTCGTTTTCATAATAGTTGAACGCATCAAACAAGAATTCTTTTATATCAATGTGAGCACGATTCACTACTGCGAACGTTAGCATCCGCCTATTGAACGCCATTTCACGATATTCAATATCCACTTTCAAATCCATGTTTTTTTTTTAACAATTAGTGTCACTTTCTTACGCAAGATTGAAGAGGAACTGAGAAATA